GGGGGGATCGGTGTTTTCATAACGTTTCACTTGTTGTTGTTGTTTTTGCTGCTGTTGTTGTTGTTGTTGTTGTTGTTGTTGTTGTTGTTGTTGTTGTTGTTGGAGTTGTTGTTGTTGTTTTTTTGCTGTGTTTTGTTTTGTTTGGGGGATGTTTTGTTTTCTATATTGTTGCTTTTGGGTTTTGTTTTGTTTGGGTTTTGAGGGGATGGGGTTGAGGAGGCTCTATTTTTTCAATCCCATCTTGCACTTTTCTTTTCTGGAAAGCTCATAAAAAAACCGATTATCATCCTGCTATTTTCCCGTCATCCATCTCTTCAGGGTCAGTTCACCCTCACCTTCACCTTCACCTATCCTGGTCTGGGTGACCAAAGGAGCACCACTTAAGATTTTGCAACCAGTCTCGTCCACTCCTCGCTGTTTCTAGCTGTCTGTCTTATGATGTTCCAGTCACGGCCAGTCCACTCTTTAAAGTTGTCATCCCATCATTTCCTCTGTCTCAGGTCATCTCCTATTCTTACTCTCTCTCTCTCTCTCTCTCTCTCTCTCTCTCTCTCTCTCTTTCTCTCTCCCAATACTGGTTGGTACTTAAGGCTAAAGGAATTCGACGTAACGCTTGCCTGCCCCTGGCCGTCTCCGCCAATCTTGGCACATCTAAGCCCAGAGCGATTGACCCATCCCTTATCGTGCTTCTGTAACTTTCAGTTTGTATACCTCTTCTTCTTTTCCGGGCTGGTCTGTAGTACCATATCTGAGAGTGCAACCTTTTCTCTGGTATTCTCACAATATGTTTTAAATATCTCCAACTTCTTCCTTTTTGGGGTGGTTCCGCTATCTTCAAATCCAGCTCTTTCCGACACTTCTCTATTTGAAATAAATTTATTACATTCTATGAATAAAATTCTTCGTCCTATTTTCTAAAGCGATCCCTTTACCTTCTTTTACCAGACTTCGCGCCAGGACGACGGCGGACCCCAGATGTTCCCTGACCTCCGCATGGAGGGCTTGGTCCACAGTGAGGGATCAGGCTCCAATGGTACCCCGGAACCGCTCCTGACGGACCGCCAAGGCATGCTGCTGGCTGGCAGACCGCCCACACAACACACCTTTGTCCGACCAAGCAGAGAGGGCTCCGCTGCTCCATCGGGGTACTTCAATACATTAGTAATAAATAGATGTCATTTGTGTTGCGCAAATTTCCGCTCAACAGCAAGCTCTGTGCGCTTTACAATCTATATTATTATCCAAGCATTCCTGATAGCATTCTAGAACAATTGAAACTTTGTGGGAAGCATACAGCGCAAGCTGCTATTCTATAAGCCGACATATTAACTAACAAGATATTTCACTGTCACATTCACATCAGTCTTGGGGGGGGGGGTGTGCCTTCTTTTTCCTGTCTTTTTTTGGTCCTTCTTACTTCTCCTCGTCTTCTCCTCATCACTACCTTCTCATCAGTCTATTTTTCCAATTACCTTTTCCTCTGTTGCACTTCTTTTTCCCCACTTACCTTCTTCTCTTCTCCTCCTTCTTCTCAGTTCTTTTTCATTCTTTTTGTTCCCCTTTCTGCTCTTTTTCCTCTTCTGCAACCCATTTTTATACCTCTTAACTCACTTTACTCTCATTCTTTCGATCATTTGACTGGTTGTGTTCTTACAACAATTACCTTTATGCATACAAAGAGGTGGGGATTTTACTTACTTTACTTTACTTTTTACTTTTTTCTTCCGCTTGTACCCTGGGGTGTCGCGGGGAGACATAGGTGTCTGTCTGCAGCAAGTCGTGTGGCCTGTAGGAGGGACATCCCATGATCTTTAAGGGTGTGTGCCACAGATTCACTCCGTCGTCGCCTTGGTCTTCCTCTGGCTCTCCATCCAGAATATTTAATGTTGTATGCTCTCAGAGCTAGATGGTTTGAGGGCATCCGCGTGAGGTGTCCGAACCACTTGACCCTTTGTTTTTCAATGTGTGGTAGGACTGGTGTTGCTCCCACGGTGTCCCTAATGACTTCATTTTTAATTTTGTCTCTTCTTGTTTTGTTGACCGCTCTTCTTAAGCATTTCATCTCGCATGTGACCAGTTTCCTCTCTGGGGCTTTTGTTAGAGTCCATGTCTGGGGATTTTACACAAGGGATAAATGTGTCAGACTCTGCTCCGCAACAAGAAGGTTGTGATTACTTTATTTACCGCAGTGTACTCAGCTCCAAATGCATGCGTATATCTTGTAGGAATGTTATTAATTGATCGTCAAAGATCGCTGTTTGAGTACAGATTTCACAATTTCTGTATAAACTCACGCTAAAGATGACTTTGATTTTATAGTTTGTCTGCCTTTCCAACTACACGTTTTTTTCGACAGCATGCACATTTGTGAGATTGACTATGCTCCATGTACGCTCTCGTGTATGTACATGTGCATGCATGGGTGTGCATGAATATGATGTATATTATCTTTGCATGCGTGTACATATGTGTTCATGTCTGTGCACCGAGTCGCCCATAAAAATATCCTCTTGTTTAGGAGGAGAAGTCCAGGGCCAGCACTGCCTTTTGAATAATCCGTCAAGGTTTATTTGTTATGTCATTTGAAACTTCAGCTCGAATAAAGGGTATCCCTCCGCGTCTTCCACAGAGGAGGTTTTACCCGATCCCACTCAGAGAGGAAGCGAGCACCCCACGCTGGTGACTCACATAGGTCTGGCCACGACTCCATCCCGAGCATCGATTCCGAAGAGAAACGATTTGTGAAGTTCAAGGAAGATGTGCTTAAACAGCTGGGAGAGGTACGATCGCCAAATATATCGTGTTGTCGGTTACAAGTATGTTGAGTATTGTGTTTTGAGGAAGCTGAAGCTGTTAAATGTTGTCAGTGATGGTTGTTATCTTTTTAACATGCTGGAGAGTTTTTGTCGCAATATGTGGAAATTGTTCTCTGTCTGCCTCCCCTGGTCTCGTTATCTCTTAGTCTCTTTGTCTCTCTGCCTATCAATGCCTCTCTTTCCCAGGCTGTTTCTCTGCCTGTCTGTCTATGTCTCTGTCTCTATCTGTCTGTCTGTCTGTCTGTCTGTCTGTCTGTCTGTCTGTCTGTCTGTCTGTCTGTCTGTCTGTCTGTCTGTCTGTCTGTCTATCTATATCTATATCTATCTATCTATCTATCTATCTATTTATCTATCTACCTGTCTGTGTGCGTGTGCGTGGGATACGAGTGCGTGAGTGTGTGGGTGTGTGTGCGTGGGATATGAGTTTGTGTGTGAGTGTGTGTGCACATGTGTGTGTGTGTGTTTGTGTATGTGAGTGGGTGTATGTGTGTATGTTTGTGTGTGTGTGTGTGTGTGTGTGAGTGTTTGTCTTTCTCTTAGGTAAGAGTTACAGCTCTTTTCCTGGCAGAAAAAAGAAATCTATCTGCAGTCAGATTTCAATTGGTAATATCTTACTTTTTTTGCTCCGTCTCGGCTTCAACCCTACTTTTAACACATAAAAGCCATTAACTTTCTATTACACTGCCGTATATCTTAAGGTGTTGATTTAAATAAAAATGAAAGTAGGTTGTCAACGGGTGGTCTTGTGGTTTGATCCCTCTGTCCTATCAAACATCTACCTTCCTAATATACCTCCTTTTCTCCTTTGTGTGTTACACTCTATTACCACCCCTAATCTTCGTCACTTATATTATGATCTATTTATGTTACAAGTACTGTAAAACGCTTTCTAAAAACAACACTACAAAATATAACAAAGCACATAATGTGTCTATGGGAATTGGCTGGTTCCCCAGCTGGGTGACAAGGACATGAATGCCATCTTGTACCCGAGGGTCAAGCGGTACCCGGAGGACGAGGGGCCACGCCGCGGAGAACCCTCCTACAAGTCGATGAACGCCCTGCAGAGAATACACAAGAAGAAATACCGACAGGTCAGTGTCGTCAAAGACTAGAGGGCAACGTTAGATAATAGACTCTGCACGTTTGCAGATGTTGCTGAGGGATCGGTTAATAAAATATGATACGATATGTTAAGGCATAGTATGGTATGTATGATAAGACATAGAATGGCACGTTAGGGTATGGTATGGTTTGGTTTGGTATAGGTTTCTACCAAGGCTATCTGCACAGTAGGCCAGAGGGATTCCAATTGATGCCTAAATCAAAGTCTGACATTTCTACGAATGAAATAATAACTATAGTGGGGAAAAGACCGGGGGGGGGGGGGGGGGGGGGGGGG